AATATTCAACCACTAATTTTTCGTGCGGTTTTCGAGTTGTTCAAAGTTAAAAAAAAAAAGCCGGATACGGACAAGAACCGTTAGCGCAAATTACCCTGTTAGGCCTAAGACCTTGTGGTGGTACCCATCGATGATTGGGTAGCGGCGGGACATGAGGAGGAGCAGAACCATTGCTTCGGGACAGAATGATACAGTTACAGTGGCAACTGTGGCATCCTCTACCCCTTGCACCCAAAAAACCCATTGGAAATTTTAGGAAACCACTAATTTCCCTTCTATCTCCCCATACTCTTCTCAGTTGCACCAATTCCAAATCCAGCTTAAGCTCCGAAGTTTCTTTCAAGTGCTTTTGTCACAAAACTGAAAACACCCATGAAGCCTCTTCTCAGGTTCAACTCCGCTCATTTTTCTTGTTGAACTTCTCTTTTTTATATATCTGATATTTTCTCAGAGGATTTTTATGCGTTAATGGGGAATTCATTGTTACAACTGGTCTGTCAACCATATTCTTTTGGGTTCTTTGGCTTTTTTTGTACTTGAACCAAGCATGAAATGAAATGGGCTTTTTTGTGATTCTAAATTGTAGGGATTCTCGGTTTTGGCAGCAGATGCTCCATGGGACCATGGAAGTTTATGGAGCACTATGGCTTTCTATATGTTCAGTTTGCACATTCCTCTGAGTTTTGGAGGGTTGTCTGTGGTTGCTCATGTATTGCATGAACCTATTCTTGATCCACAGATAGAGGTGAGTTTGTTTCTTAATTTGTATGATCGACCTGGCGCAAAAATGCCTTTTTACACCATTCGATTCTCGGAAGAATGGGAAATGTGAGAGGATACTTACACAAAATGCTTTACCGAGAAGGGCAATCTTACTTCCCTTTTCATCATTTAACAATTAACATTGAAATGTAGGTGTCGTTTTTCGGGGCTGAATATTGGATTTCTTTGTCTTCTGTCCTTGTGTATGGATTGGCATATGCCTTATTGAGGCTAATGAACCACCCTATAGTCAAGTAGCCCATCCAGTCCTCTCTTTACATCAAACTTAGGATTCAAAACTCAAAAAAGTGACAGTGGTTACCAACGTACATCGTTCTGTAATGCAGAGATAGGAATCTCATCGGCATCTTCGAAGTACCAATTGAAATTTGAAACAAACAACAATTAGCATCCCGTGGTATAGCATTGTTCCCACGCCCATAAGATCTGTAGTTCAGTAGATAACTCTCTTAGTA